ATTTTTCTAGTGAAGGATGTTGGGCAGCACAGTGGCTAAATGATTAGCACTTCCGCCTGGCAGTACTAGGGTCGTTGGTTCGAATCCCAACCATGGCACCACCTGCCTGGAGTTGGCATGTTCTCCCTGTGCCTGCCTGGGTTTCCTCCCACATTCCAAAGACATGCTGGTAAGTGAATTGGATCTAGTATATGTATGTATGAATGTGAGTTAGGGACCTTAGATTGTTGCCCCTTGAGGGTTAGGGACTGATGTGAATGTACAATATAAAGCCCTTCATAAATTGACGGCGCTATATAAGTACGTGAAAAAATTAAAATAAATTATTTTTCAAATTGTAATAGTCATTTTTTAAAATTTTGTACATTTGATGCCCTCTAGGGTATGTTTTGTGTAACGCAGTTTGGTTAACCTCTAGCTCTCCAGAGGATTTACCCCCATTCCTGACCAGGCCATTTTTTGCGTTACGGCGGTGCGTTACTTTAACTGAAAATTGCGCAGTCATGCAACGCTGTACCCAAATAAAATTTGTTTCCTTTTTTTCCCCCACAAATAAAGCTTTCTTTCGGTGGTATTTTATCGCCTGTTCGTATTAATTTTTTTGCGCTATAAAAAGAAAATAAGACCGACAAAAACAATCTTTTTGACTTTTTGCTATTAAACATGTCCAATAAAAAAAAAATGTAAAAATCAAATTTCGTCACAAATTTAGGCCAAAATGTATTCTTTGCTATAAAAAAAATCCCAATACGTGTAAATTAATTGGTTTACGTGAAAGTTATAATGTTTACAAATGGCGACATATATACTGGGATTTTTTTTTTCTACTAGTAATGGCAGCAATTAGAGACTTATTACGGGACTGCGGCAGGCATTCTGACACTGGGGGGGGAACGGACTTGGTGTTACTGACATCCCCAGTAACACCAATACAGTGATCAGTGCTAATAAAAAGCACTGACGCTGTACTAATGACACTGGGCAGGAAGTGGTTAACATATGGGGCAATCAAAGGGTTACCTGTGTGCTGTGTGTGTTTTCAACTGTAAGCACACTGCTTTGTATGGCTGAGTGATGCACAGCCATACAAAGCAGTGTGCAGGAGCTGACAGGGGAGAGAACTGTATTGTTTACATACAGTTCTCTCCCTCCGTAGGTAGCTCGGCGATCACCGGGTGCTGGCAAGAATCGGGCAGGACACGGTGATTGAGAGCTGAGGCACGAATAGCAGTGCGGGTAGGGTGCACGGACGCCCCCTACCCGGAAATGTAAAATCGTGTGTATGTATGTATGTATTGTGTGTGTATGTGTGTGTGTGTGTGTGTGTGTGTATATATATATATATATAATGTGTGTAGTTATGTGTGTGTGTGTGTGTATGTGTATATAAGTATGTATGTATGTATGTATGTGTATGTGTATATATATATATGTATGTTATTTTACTCAACCCTGCCGCCCTATATCTGCTATAGGGCGGTGGAAAAGCGGTTAAAGCCACGTGGGGAGAGATTAAACCACTTGAGTACTTGTGGTTCTTTCCTAGGTCGTTATTTATTCATATAGAGGGGAAATCTTCCAATGGGGACACTAGTTTTGGTGACAACCAGGAGTTCCCTTATTTTGAAGGATGTCACTTCCTGTTTTAAATATGGGATAGGAAGTAAAGTGAAATCTCCCCAATGGGACACAAAATGCCAAAAAAAAAACTTGACAGGTGTTATAACCCTTACTTACGCTATCCAAAATGAAATCAGAACTGAAATGCAAATGTTCTTTTTTTAAAGTGTTTACCAGAATAGGTATAGGTGGTAAATCTACCAAAGGTGACTCTTGTTTCTGTAAGAACCTTCTATGAAATAAGTTGGATGTGAATGCATAGGGATGTAAACTTCTGTTTAAGCCTTGCTTAAAGGAGTTGAAAATGACTGTAATGTTTGCTTTAGATATGTTACACTACAGTACAAGGAGTTTAGGTAAATGAACGTACATGAAATCATTCCTGGAATATTGTCACATGATCGGTGTGGGGTTTTCCCTGCCCTGACCTGTCATTCATACTCAGCTGGTTGCTGTGCAGCTTGGTAACAAAAGCATAAAATACAGTCAAAGTACAACTAAAGACACAACTTTTTTTTAGTTTTGGATAGTGGAGAGGGATTAGAGCGCTTGTCAGCTTTTATTGCTCTCTGCCCCCATTAGGGAGATTCATCCTCCTCCTATTTGTCCTGTTTACCATTATCAGTGAAAGCAAAAGAAAATCCCGAATTTTGGGCTGTCCCCAGAAAATTATAAAGGGAAATATTCCAATGGGGACGTTAGTTCTGGTGACTTGGGGGTCCCCAAGAGATTCCCTTAAGTTGCAAGGATTTCATCTCACTTCTTTGTAATGGGACAGGAAGTGAAGGGAAGTCTGCCCAATGGGACACAGATGGTTATAACCCTCCCTTGTTCTATCCAAAATGAAAAAAAAAAAAGTTTTGCCTTTAGTTCTACTTTAAGGCTTCATACACACAGTGCTTAAAAAACACGGCTTATACAGGAGTTAAGCTTTTTTTTTTTTTTTTTTTTTCAACCAGTTAAAGCACCTCTGTGTAAGCCTTGTTTACATGTACACAGGCATTCACAGGTGTATTACAAAAGAAGTGTTTAAAGGCATTAACCCCCCACAAAAGGTGTGTTCTTGAGAGGAGCTTAAAGTGCTGCTAAACCCACAACAGTGACATCAGTCTGTATATGCAGTAAAGCATGCCTGTTATACTCACTGTGGAACCTAAGGGGTAATCCTCTGCATTGTGTAAAAACGCTGTTTGATCCTCACTTCTCTGTTCCTCCCCTTCCAATGTTCCCCTCTTATCTTCTGATAAGACATATATCATTTGAAGACATTGCACGTGCTCAGCTTGATATGTATTGCTAGAGATTTTTTTTTTCTTGGGAGGGTGCATGTGATCAGCATAAGTCCAATCAGCACTCTCCAGACAGATGTCAGGGGCTCTGCATCCTCCTGGAGCAGAATGAAAACTCCTCCTACAAGCTTTAACCAGTGCTCTGCTGAACACTGATAGAAGCCACAAGACCGCTCCAACTGCTGATGAGAAAAGGTATTTTGAAGTTTATATTTACTAAAATAATTGCATTTCTATGTTCTGTGTACTGTGGGAGACCAGATATAATGAATGCAGGGTCCTGGGTTTAGTAACACTTTGAGAGCGGAAAAAAACACTATTCACACCTAAGCGCACATAAATGCTACATGCATAATATGTATGCATTTAGATACATTCCAATGGACAGAATAAATTAACATTCTGGCCAGTAGAATGCATGAACACATGTGCAATACGCGCCTTTTTGGAGCATTTTTTATGCGATTTCCTGACAATAGTTCTGGAGTTCAGAGGGGATTTTTCAGGTACCCTATATGCATGAGGCCTAAGGCACCTTCACACAGGATGGAATCTGATTTGCCTAGCAGGGATCTGTCCGCTGATCCCCTTCTGAGCGGAGTGGGCGGATGACACATCCACGTTCGCTCCGTTTATGCAGAGTGGACACACCGAGCCCAGTCTTCTCTATGGACAGCCAAGTGGAAATGGACTCTGCTGTCCGTTTACACCCAACTGCCCTCTGATCCGATCTGCCTAGACAGAGGGGGATGGATCCACTTCCTTTTGTTTAGTAGACTGGATCTGATCAGTAGTAGGTGGTTGTAAATGAACACAAGCCTGTTTACACCCACCAGTCTATAGGGACGAATGGAGAGTCCGATTAGGTCTGCCTGAAAAACTGACAAGCGGACCTGATTAGAACGGTCGCGTGGAAGCGTCCGAATACTACAATCTGAATGTCTGCTACTCTGCAATCAACTGCTCACTGTCACTCCAACTTTACAATAGAAAACATATTCCTCATCTCAATTTTCAGTGTTTACATTAACTTTGGTCTTTTGCAGTTCAGTGACATTCAGAGCCAATTGGGAAAGTATGCTGCATGCAGAATATTGCTGACACAGCAATTCTAAAAAATATGCGCAGTATGCTCTTCTATAAACAAGTATTGACACTGCACAGCACTCATGAATATGTATTGTATATGTATATAGAACTGACCCAAACTGCACATCACACCACTGCCCATTGAGATCAATGGGGTCACACCGCAATCGTGAGCCAAATGCTGCAGTGCAGTCCTGCAATGCAAGATTGCTGTTTGGCAAATAAAACAACTGTCTACTGCCGGTCTGAAAGAGCCCATAGTCACAATTTCCAGCTCTACAATTCTACTTGCTGTTCAATTGAATTGTAGAGCTGATTAACATATGTGCGGTGCGTATTGAAGCTCAGGTTTCACAGCTAATTGACACAGTAGTTGTTCACAGGTTCACATCAGGTTTACATCAGGTTCAGGACAGGATTAGTTCAGGATCTTATCTTGTTCACACATACGTGGTTTAGAAACGGTTCCGTAGAAGTCAATAGTCTGTAATCTGTAAACCGGACCGCACTGCTCAGAAATCGGACCTGATTCTTTTTAAAACTGCACTGAATCCGCACTGCCAGTGCATTGGACATATGTGAACAGGCACCATAGGAAGCAATGTTTTTTTTTCACATGTCATGCAGATTGGATGCCATGCAAACCTTATCCAATCCACATATATGTGAATGGGCACTAATCTGCTTTTATAATGTGTGTCTGCTAATCAGCCAATCACATGGCAGCAATTCAATGCATTTAGCCATCTAGACGTGGTGAAGATGACTTGCTGAAGTTCAAACCGAGCATCAGAATGGGGAAGAAAGGGGATTTAGGTGACTGAACACGGCATGGTTGTTGGTGCCAGATGGGCTGGACTGAGTATTTCAAAAACTGATCTACTAGAATTTTCATGCACAACCATCTCTAGGGTTCACAGAGAATGGTCTGAAAAAGAGAAAATATCCAGTGAGCAGCAGTTGTGTGGGCGAAAATGCCTTGTTGATCTCATGTCAGAAGAGAATGGACAGACTGGTTCAGCTGTAACATTCAGATGGTAGGGTCAGAATTTGGTATAAACAACATGAAAGAATGGATCCATCCTGCCTTGTAACAACGTTCAGACTGGTGGTGGTGTAATAGTGTGGGGGAGATTTTCTTGGCACTAGCAAGGTGTACCTAATGAAGTGACCGGTGTGTGTGTCTATATGTATATATATATATGTATGTATGTGTGTGTGTGTATATCTATAAAATATACACACGCGCGCACACACACACTTTACTCTAATTCGATTTCTGCATGAAAACGTAATCTAAATACTCTTGTTTTTTGTGTTTTTTGTAGAATGGGAAACTATCTGCTGAAGTTGAGCCATTCATCCCTCAGAAGAAAGGGACTGAAGCCCTAGCAATTCCAATGTCTCTATCAGGCGATGGTGGAAGCGTAGGCGGACTTGAACCCACTCCTATTCCAAGCTATCTTATAACCTGCTACCCATTTGTTCAAGAGAACCAGTCGAATAGGTAATTTGCATGCCTTCCTTTAGTTCACAAAACTGAATTCAAATTTTCTGTTCTGCTTTCAGCTCGCTGACAGACGTAAATTAGGAACTGAGACTTGTTTATCTTGCCTTTCTAAGTCACCTGAAGTCCTGTTTCTGGGAGTTGACAATACGTGAACTTTGCTTTCTGGTTTGTGCAGAGATTATGTTAATGCTTTTTTAGTTTACAGTCGGTTGTATTTGCTTAGTCATAGTAACGTGAATGAAGTGTATATTTAAGTTCAAGCTCTTCTCTTTTGTTGTTGCTTAATTCTGGTGCTGTGTTTAGGGGAATTGCAGTAAAAAAAAAAAAAGTTTGTCGCAGTATTTTCCAACACTAGATGGGATTGTGTACACTAAAGGAAGGGGTGGATTAACCCCAGCCGGAATGGGAATCCGTGTGATTGTGAGAATGGTCATATTACTTTTTTTTTTTTTTTTTTCTTCTCCCAGGACACATAAGTCAAGCATTGTGCTGATTAGTGTGGAAAAATTGCATGTTTCACATTTCTGATGGTTGGACAGCCTCTTGTACCATTAACGAATATGTAAACCCAACTTTTCATATTCCTGATACTGTGCCTGCATGTACCATGTAATTGTATGAAAAAGTATCCTGTTTTCTTTGTATTACTTCCTTTGTGTGATGTCCCTGGTGTTCTTGCTAGTCCCTCTCCTTTCCTACTAAAAAAACTGATCACACTAGGCAGGAGAGCACAGCATGGTCAGTGTTCTGGCTTTGCTGGGAAGATCAGTGTGTTTGTGGCTTCTCCTCTCCAGCTCTCTGTGCTCCTTATGCAGCTGAGAACAGCGGGTAAGTGATCACTTATTAAAAAAAAGGTGAAAAAAGTATTTGATATTTTATATATGTATACACAAATGTTTTGCCTTTCATTTTTATTTTAAACTGAATGGGTTGTTTTTACATGGTGAGAGTTTACGTACAGTTGGGTCCATATATATTTGGACACAAGCATAATTTTAGTTTTTTTCACGTAGTTGCCAAAACATATTCAAGCTATAGTTATATAATGGATATGGGCTGACGGTGCACATTCTCAGGTTTAATTTGAGGGTATGTACATCCAAATTGGAAGAAGGGTTTAGGAATTACAGCTCTTAAGAGTAGCCAGTCCCCTTTTTCAAGGGACCAGAGGTATTTGGACAAAAGAATCAAACGCTGTTTCAAGGCCAGGTGTGGGCTACTCCATTATTTCTTCATCAATTAAGCAGGTAAAAGGTCTGCAGTTGATTCTAAGTGTGGTATTTGCATTTGGAATCTATTGCTGTGAACCTACATCATGCGTTCAAAGGAGCTGTCAATGCAAGTGAAACAGGCCATTGTAAGGCTTCAAAAACAAAACAAATCGATCAGAGAGATAGCAGCAACATTAGGAGTGGCCAAATCAACAGTTTTGTACATTCTGAGGAAAGAAGAACACACTGGTGACCTCAGCTACATAAAAAGGCATGGACATTCATGGAAGATAACAGTGGTGGGTGATCGCAGGATCCTATCTATGGTAAAGAAAAACCCATTCACAGCATCCAGACAAGTGAAGGACACTCTCCAGAAGGTGGGTGTTTCATTGTCAAAGTCTACAATCAAGAGAAGACTTCACGAGGGCAAATACAGAGGGTTCACCACAAGGTGCAAACCATTCATATGCCTGAAGAATAGAAAAGCCAGATTAGACTTTGCCAAAAAACATCTAAAATAACCAGACCAGTTCTGGAAAAGCATTCTTTGGACGGATGAAACTAACATTAATCTGTACCAGAATGACAAGAAGAAAAAAGTGTGGAGAAGGCTTGGAACAGCTCATGATCCAAAGCACATAACGTCATCTGTAAAACATGGTGCAGGCAGTGTGATGGAATGGGCATGCATGGCTTCCAGTGGCACTGGGTCATTGGTATTTATTGATGATAAGACAGAAGCAGCGGGATGATTTCTGCAGTGTTTAGAGATATACTG